TTTTATTAAAATTTTTGTTGTCAGACTGTCCTTGGTTTAATCTCTGGCTTAATCACCCAAATCTTCCTGATATAGTTGCACCCTAGCTTCTGTGTCTCTAACAACCCACAGACATTCTCATCTTCATAACATCAGAGAACAGATCATCATTTGCCCTACTGTTTGCCATTGGTAAACTGGAAGTCTGTCCTTGTGTCTTGCTTAAGTGTTTTCTTATTTTAATTTTTGTTGTCAGACTGTCCTTGGTTTAATCTCTGGCTTAATCACCCAAATCTTCCTGATATAGTTGCACCCTAGCTTCTGTGTCTCTAACAACCCACAGACATTCTCATCTTCATAACATCAGAGAAAACAGCTCATCAAGTCAACCGCAGTGCTTTACCCCAACTGATACAATCAGCAACACATTAAGATCAAGCACAACTTGGACACTGACCACCAGTGGTAGTCACTAGTCTATCACCCTTAAATCATTTGAATTAAATTGAAATCAAGAAGCAGTCCAGAACATGTCTGCAGTGAACAAAATTTCAATATAGTGTATTTACCATTTAATGGCTCAGACAGAGCGAGGATGCAAGACCTCTGATCTCAGTTAGCTGATGGCTGAACCCCATGATGCTGACTGACCTCGGGCTGCAAGGCCCAGATTGAGTTCCCCAACCTTCTGAATGGTTGAACTCCGCAACGTTCTATTACAGGTTTCCCACGCCCTTTCTTTAAAGATGTTCAAAGTTGGGAACTTAGAAAAATACCCTTGATGACCACCTCTGTCTTTGCAGAGTGGGTCCAAAGACTGGCACAGTCAGGAGGTCTGAGAATGCGCGGGGGGGAGCTTATGGGGGTTCAGGGGCGCCTGCATGGCTACCTTCCCGGCGCTTGAGCAATGGCGGCTGGGTCGGGAGCAGGCGTGGTTCTCCTTCCCACAGTGGATTGGGGCCCAGGCTACTTGCCGGCGCTTGAGCGATGGCGGCTGGGTCCCACTAGTCTCCTTGAGTCTGCTGGCTGACGCCAAAGGCTCCTTTGTCATCTCTCTCCCTGCTGAATATAACTGTATAAGAGGGACAGGATGGAGGGGCAGGAAAGCCAAATGAGCTTTCCTATTCCAACAAGAGAGTGGGAGCTGCACAGTGGTGTTCTAGCTCAGCTGTCCTGAGTGGTAACTTCACAGAGACCTCATGTGCTAAGTGGTCTGTGGCCTGGAAGGCTGCATTTTAGTTAGTGGATTTGGAACAGGAACCCCCATCCCAGGTGAGGAGAATTCCCACTGTGACCCTGACTCACACTGGGAGCATAAATTAACCCAGGTGGTCCCTTTGGTTTATTGAAAGGTGTACCTCTCCTTTTTTTTTCTTTTGAGGCAGTCTCGCTATGTAGTACAGGCTGGCCTCAAGCCTGTGTGCTGTGATTTAACGTGTGCGTCCCTTCTAAGGTGAGTGATGGCGAATTTTTTACAGCTGAATGCCCAAACGGCAACCCAGAATCTGCCTACTTATGACAAAGTGCCAACACTGCAATTAAACCTGAATACTGAGGTCTTAGTTTAAAAATAAAACAACTCATATGTTAATATCTTTGTCTTAAAAGAAAAACACAGTAACATGTATGCCAAAGTTTCACCACCACGGCTCTAGGCTTCAGTCTGGGACAGTGGTCAGGTTCTCCGTAATGAGTGTGGGGCAGGATGTGTAACTTGCGTGGTGGTTTGACATGTGTAGACCTTTGATTTCTGTTGCAGTCCCTCCTCCTTGCTCATGTCTACCATCCCAAATGTCACACATTAATTAGTCCACAGGTTCTGCGGTTTCAGAGGGTAGAGGGCTTCTGTTCCCTTTGCACCTTCCTGAAACACACGTGTGCCTCATTTTCTGTTTTATTTCATCCATATTAGCTCTTAAGTCTGTTTCATTGTCTAGAATTTTTTGTTTGTTTGTTTTTGTTTTTGTTTCTTAAGACAGGGTCTCACTATGTCATTGAGACTGACCTGGAACTCACTGTGTAGCCCAGGCTGGTCTCGAACTCACAGAGATCCTCCTGCCTCAGCCTCCCGAGTGCTGGGATTACAGGCATGTGCCACTACACCCGGCTTCCCAACTCTTTCTAAGGCCATGGTTTCTTTCCTTTCTGTACTCATTGACATTCATTCTTTAGGATATTGAGGTCAAAGGCATGGGCCTCATCTGCTCTCTTCAGTAGGGAATTTTGAGTTAAGAGACCCTGAGGTGGTATTAAAACATAGAAGCAGATAGTTATGATACTTCTTGTTATTGTTTTTTGGTTCGGTTTTGTGTATGTGGTAAAGAATAGAAATGGTTCCTCTTGGCCGATGACACTTGTGAATTCTGGGCTTCTGCTCCTGGCATTAAGATGGTTAAGTTCTGATGGCTGACACTAGAATGTGCCTGTGTGTAGCTGGAGTGGGTGACAGGGGATCCTGGGGAGGGATCAGTGAAAGAGCCAGGGAAATATGATTGCTTCCAGAGCCTGAAACAAGTTTCGGAGGAGGAAAAGGTAAATGACAAGTGCGCAGAGGTGTGAATTAGAATGAAGAGTAGACATGTTTTCATTCCACCATACATGTTTCCCACAGTGAATGTCCTGGTGTTCATTTATGGAGGAGGCTGTCATCTCAGAAGGTGAGGGGACCTAAATCTGAGTAGTAAACCTTTATACATATGTTTCCCATTTTATGGATTTTGCTAAGCCTTTTACGTGTGTGTGTGTGTGTGTGTGTGTGTGTGTGTGGTGCTGGGGATTGAACCCAGCGCTTCGTACGTGCTAGGTAAGCACTTTACCGCTGAGCCACATCCCCAGTCCTTTTTATTTTGATTTTAGTTCATTTTTGGTACTGGGGATTGAATTCGGTACCTCACACTTGCCAGGCAGGCGCTGTGCCACTGAGCTAAATCCCTGGCCCGAGTCCTTTTTATTTTTTGCGATAGAGTCTCACCAAGTTGCCCACACTAGTCTTGAATTTTTGATCCCAGTGCCTCAGCTTCCCCAGTATTCATGATTGCAGTCGTGTACCAGTGCCAGGCCTAAGCTCTTATTTCTTTTTTTGGGTGGCTCTAGTCCCATATGAAATTACTAGTACTATGTGTTTACTTTAAGAGTACCCTTACTGTTTTTTAAAATATTACAGCAAAATCTCAGGCTTCTGTACCAAAAAATAGTGTATGCTTTGTTTAACTACATGTGACTGAAAACTAAAAAATCAAACAAGCTACAAGTGTGCTTTGTCTACGTGGAAGAAGCTAGTGGCTGGCATTCTGACAGCTTCACATTGTGAAGACTAAATCAGGTTTCTGTTTTGCTCTCTCACTGATCTGAGGGTGTGGCTTCTACCTCAAGTAGAGAGTAGCTATGGGAATTCCAGCCATGTCACATCCATATTTCAGTAAGCAGGGATTAAAGAAGGAGAAAGGAGAGGCCTATACTTTTCCTGTAAGGATACTTCTTTAAAATGCATGATTTTTTTTTTTAGACCCCACTGACCAGAACTCAGTTACATGTCCTTTGTTTGAGGCCGACCTGAGCTACATAGTGAGTTCAAGGCCAGCCTAAACTACATAGCAAGACCCTGTCTCAAAAAACAAAAAAGGAAATCAGAACATAAACCATTGCTTCGGCTGTAGGTTTGAAGTGTCCTGTTCTGCTTTGAGTGTGAGGGTGGCTGGAATAGCCAGGGTTTCCCTCACTGCTGATCTTTTGTCCGCTTAGAGTAGACTCTCCTGACAGTGGTCGGGGCTGTGTCTGTCCCCTTCTGATGTTTGTCTGTTTTGTGAGAGCAGGAGCCACGTGAGCCTTGTTCTCATGGGGATGTCAGCCAGACTCCTGGCTTTCTCCTCAACAGTTGCCATCTCTGTCTCCTCTCTGTTCCACAGGGTTCTCTGTGCAGAGAATTTTTAATTTGCACCAATCTTGAATGTGCCACTGAGGGGTTGGCTATTTTGAGAAACTCTGACTGAGGGCCATTTCCTTCAGAGACAGCAACCTGTCCTAGGGACTTCTCAGATCAGAGACGCTCCTGCTTGAGTCCTGGGAGTAGCACTTGGAGATAGTGTATTCCCTAACTCATGCGGGTCAGTTATCTCAGTTATTAGATCTGGTGTTCTGACACACGCTTCATACTTCTCATTAGTCTCAAAATATCTAAAACACTAGAATGAGCCAGCATTTGAGAGCTAAAGAGGACAGGATTTTTACCGCCCAGATGGTCAAAAAGGGAGTGGAAAACCAGGTTGGTTTGAGCGTTCTTCAGCCCTTTCTTTTCAGGGTCGTTTGGCGCAGGGTTCCGGCCTGTGTTGCTTCACCTTGCCACTGATCTCTCTCTACTTGGGTGGGTTTAGTGTAGGGCATGGGTCTGTGGAAGGACCTTGGGGGGGCTGGGATGGAAGCAGTACTTATTTTGTGGAAAATGTGAAAGTAAATGGAAAAATTATCTTTTATTTCACCACCCAGAATATAACCACTGCTAATCTTTTTCCTGGGGCTTACAAGTGACTGTTTGTTAAACAGATTTTGGCAAAATCGTCTATTGTTGGACCCATACCATTGTTTCTGTTTTTTTCATCTCATTAATAGTTATGATGAACATTTGTATATTAGTTTCGTTTCTTTGGATAGTCACATAAAGTATTTTTCTTCACATGGAATGACTAGGTCAAAGATGTGAGCCACTGAAGGTTTTAGTACTGACTTCCAAAATACCTTTCAGACGGGCGGAGACGGGCGGCACTCATTTACATTTTCGCTAAGTGCTGCATGAGTATATTGATTTTTCTCTGGTTCCGGTCCAGTGAATGTTGTTTTTCATCTGTTCAGTCTGACGTGAGAAAAATGTTTTCCCATGGCCATTTTATTTTTGTGAGAGCAGGAGTCACCTGAGCTTTGTTCTCTCAATGGGGATGTCAGCCAGACTCCCAGCTTTCTCTTGTTGATGTTTAGTGAGACTAAATATTTATATTTGAAAATGGTACTTAGGGTTAGAAAATAGACTATTCTTTTTCTGTTGGCAAGTTCATACTTTTCTTGATTTGTAAGAGTTTTTTTAAAAGTGTATTTAAAGAAGTTGAACATACTACTATATGTTGCGTCTTTTTCTTTATTATTTTTAGTGCTTTTGTATTCTAAATTTTACACCCCTCCCCCTTGAATGCAGGGCCTTGCACAGGCTAACCACACCCTCTCCCATACAGCCACACTGTCACTCTGTCAGTCACATTGTGTTTCTTCCTTTTTTGTTTTGGTACCAGGGAAGGAACTCAGGACCTTGTGCTTGCGAGGCAGGCGAGGCAGGCGAGGCAGGCGAGGTGTCACTGAACTGAATCCCCAGCCCTGTTTCTTCCTTTGATGACTTGCTCAGAAAGGCCTAGTTCCCCTCCCCACCCTGCATGTAGGCAATTTAACCTGTTGTTCTCACCCTGCCACCCCAACCAGAGATTGAATCCAGCTAGGGCTTTTGCACTGGCTCTTTTCCATGGCTTTTTTTGGTTTCCTCCTCTAAATTTTGAGACAGGGTCTTACTAATTTGCTAAATTGCTCACAAATTTGAGATCTTCCTACTTCAGCCTCTCAGAGTGTTGGGATATGGGTGTGTACCACTAGACCTGAATCTTCGTATTTTTATAGTTTGCTTTTGATATTGAAATCATTAATCCATCTGGAATATATTCAAATGAATGCTGTGAAGTAGAGATCTGAGGTATAGAGTAAAGGATTTTAGTCAGTGGTTGTCCTTTGGGTCAGGGCATGGCTTTTGTTGGCCAGCTGCACAGCAGGGCTGTGATACTGTTCCATCACCTGAGCATGCAGTGACCAACTTTCCACTGGAATCCATTTCTAGAAATGGGCTTGGTGGGTTGTCAGAGGTATCAGTTTCTTTTTTTTTTTTTTTTAGTACCAGGGATTGAACTCAGGTCCTTGCGCTTGCGAAGCAGTGGCCGGAACCACTGAACTAAATCCCCAGCCCATATTGGTTTCTGTTTTGCAGGGCTGAGGAAACAGATCTGAAGTTTAGTAACATGACAAGTTAAAATTTGAGTTCCTTGTGTCATGCATGCTGGAAGCAAGGGCATCGTAGAGCTGGAAGAGACTTCTGCCCTTATCTCTTGAGGCCTGACGCAGCCTAGCCTCCATTTACTGTGGAACCTTCCTGGCTTCTCTGGGGCAGAGAGCTAACAGGACTTTAAAGTAGGTTAAGTCACCTGTTCACATCAGACAGTAAGCTATAGAGATGGATTTGAACCCATACCACGTGGCTCTGAAGTCCAGGGAGCTAATAGGACTTTGAAGTAACTTTGTGATAGGAAACAAGCAGGCATGTGCACTTTTGGGTGATAAGAGGGGGAAAGTAGACAGCTAATCAAAAGGACTCCCTGAGATAAGGATGCCTGGATTCCCTGAGATAAGGAAGCAGGGTGTACAGAACACTGAGACAAGACCCCATAAATAAGAGATGCATCTTTTGTTCAGGCCTGCTCTGCTGTTCGTGTTTGTGTTTCTTCCCTGTAAGGCATTTTATTTTAGCCTTAAGACAGTCTCACGTATGATTTCCATCTTTGTGTGGCTAGCAGCCCACGATAGCTGGTGACACTTCCTCCCCATTTCATTACCATTCCTTTCCTGGATTCCTGTGTGGTCCGCAGCCCACGCAGTCATTAGGTGCTGCCTTGAGTCTTCTCAGCAGGTGGCCTCTAGGTCTTAGTTCCCTCCTCCAGGCACGGGCACATTGCGCTCAGCTTTCCTGCTGCCTTGGTGGTGAACTGCTTGTCCAGGTTGGGCTTGCAGGCTGTCAGGAGTTGGAGCTGTCAGTCAGCTGTGAAGATTAGCAGCTGTCTGGGCAGTGAGAGTCAGGCCTCTGGGTTCGGGAGGAATCTGTTATGCCCAGTGAGTAGTGTTGGATAGTACAGAAGTATCGGGATGTCTGTGCTTAGTTTTAGTTTGGAAGTACTATGTTAATATGTGTTCATGCTGCGTTAGCACATGTTTTATTTAATATCAGTCCCAATAATTTATTTAAAGGTTCTCAGGCTGTGTGAAATTAAAGACAGAAGAACTAAATAGTTCAGATGTACAACTATTTCTGCAGTGGGTCAGAGTGCTTTTGAAAATGTTACAGAAAATTTGTTTCAGATAATGTGTAGAACAGAGAGGAATCTAAGGAAGAATATTAATATTTGTTTGTACCGGGACTCGAACTCACGACTTTGGTCTTGTGAGGCAGGCATGGTGCCACTAGGCTAAATCCCTGGTGAGTCTTAATATTCTTAATCAATTTATTTGAAGAAATTATGTTAAATTTGTGCAGTTCAACAATTTAAAAAGTAGAATTATTATAATTGTTGCTTTTTAAAAAAATGATGTGCATCTAGAAAAATGAGGAATCATTGTAAAGCAGCAGAAGAATATTTCAGGTGTTTTGTGATTAACAAACTGTTAGTGAGTTGTCAAAGGGTAGTGACACTTATGCAGATGGAAACCAGCTTTGTTTTCCAAGAAGAACTAAATTCTTCTGAAGAATGTTTTCAGTATTTTTTAGGTCATTTCCATATATTTTGTGTGTGTGTGTGTGTGTGTGTGTGTGTGTGTATACATATACCTATTATGTACAATGTGACTTTTCAAAAACAATGGCTTAGGCAGACCAACTCTGTTTTGTTAAACCTTTTCCCTATTTTTATTTAAATATCATGAGGTTGTGCTTCTGAATAGTTTATCCACCTAGCAATATGAAATACTGACATATCAGTAAGAATGTAGTGAAACCTCAGGATCCTTGTCCTTCATTGCTCTTATTTTTTTTAAAAAAGGAAAAAGTAGTGCAAGACTGAGAATTTTGGAGTGGTTAGTAGTGCTCTTTTCATTTTACTTTTGGACCGGCTGCCTGTATGCTGCTGATAATAAGAAGCTGAGCTGAGCAGAACGTGGTTGGTTGCACACACCTGTAATCTCAGCACTCTGGCTGAAGCAGGAGGATCACAAGTTCCAGCCCCTCTTGGGCAATTTAGTAACTTAACGACCTGTTTCAAAAGGAAAGGTTTTGAATGTAGCACAGGGCAGAGGCCCTCAGTTCACCATCCCATATACCTACACAGCCACACACACACACACACACACGCACACACACACACTTCACTTTCTATTGTGGCTGATTGATGGTGTAAGAATCACAGCTGTTGTGTCTCTTGCAGCTGGAATCTGCTTGGAAGGCTTTACTCAAGTCTTCTCAGGCCTGCAGTTCCATAAAGTTTCCTGGGCTTGCTCAGGGGATAGGCCTGTTTTTGACTCATTGAACTCTGTTCAGAAGCTGTTCCCTGGTTATTGGGAACCACACTCTCTCCCTAAGTATCATTATCCAGGCTCTTATCTTTTTAAATTAATTAATTAATTATTTATTGGTACCGGGGATTGAACTCGGGTCCTTGTGCTTGCAAGGCAGGTAGCAGAACCACTGAGTTAAATCCCCGGCCCTCCAGACTCTTTGCTTTAATGATCACCCCTATGCCAGTGACCATGAATGACATAGATATCTCCAACCCAGCTTCCTCCAGTGTTAACCACTTACTAACAGAGCCATGAAGAAGTTCTCACATGCATCTAAATAAAACATTTTTGTTTGGGGCAGGGGATTTAGCTAGTGGTTCTGCTGCCTGCCTTGCAAGTGCAAGGACCCATGTTCGATCCTCGGTACCAAAAAAAAAATTTTTTTTTTTGTTTGTTTGTTTGTTTGAGACGGAGTCTTGCTGTGTAGTTCAATCTGGCCTTGAACTCACTATGTAGCCCAGGCTAGCCTCAAACTTGTAGCGATCCTCCTGCCTCTGCCTCCCAAGTTCTGGGATTACAGGTATGTGCCACCACACCTGGCTTAAATTAAAATTTTTATATTGCCTAGAAAACTGTTGGTCCTGAAGTCTTGCCTGGCCAGCCAGTTGACAGAAACATAATCTATATCCTGCATAAACCAGAACTTCAAGTCATACTTAATTTTCATCTTCCCCTTGGTATTGGACATTGAAGTTGGCTTCCTGCTAAAATCTGTCCCACTCCTTCATGGTGTTTAGCAGCCCCACAGACCAGATATTTTTAATCCTGGCTGGTCTGCCACAGTGATGGATTCATGAATAGGCCTTGAATCCCAGTGGAAGCCAGTGTGCATGTTGGCGGTTTTGAAGTGGGCATTTGACCTCAGGTGTTCCAGTGAAGTTGGAGCTCTAGAATCTTGTTAGATGGTGGAGATAG